ATCTAGAATCACAAACCTCCAGAACAAGTGCACCCATGGCAAACACCAATGTGACAAGGAATAAAATTAGCATGATTGTTGTGCTTAATGGGTAGAGAGGTTTCCTCACCAACTGCATTGAGCCTTCCTGCATAGTGGGTACATTACACCACCATGGCTGGCCTTGGCTTTGACTGCAGGGGGAAAACATGGGCATACAGAGTGCACCAGAGAGATAATGAAGCAAAAAAAATTCAGATTGCATTTGTTGACATAGTCATAAGATCTTTTACATGGCTATTTCTTTCTTGAACCACAGGCAGATACCATCCTCCAATTGAAACATGCAATGCCAATCACATAGTTTTGAAAAATAGACAGCTGGAACAAGATTCTCTCACTGACAAAGAAGCAATGTTGATCTTACAAATCTACAGGTGTAAATTGTAGAAAGGGATGATCAATGTACTCACACTCAGTGCCATCCTTGTCCCCAACAGGTGCATAGAATATTCTTCAATTGTTTTTCAATTGTAGGGAGTTAAAGGAACATCCTTCATTATGCATTGTGGAAGATCAGGCTATACAAAAAGTTAGTTGGATTCAAGGAACATAGTGATAGAGTACTTGCATTAGAGATATAGTAATGATCTGATGCCACAAGTTCACCCTTGTGTGCCTCTGCAATCTCAATTGCAGATTCAGACTCTTGTGTGTATCCACTGGATACAATCAAAGGTGCTGGACCCTCAGAAGGCATGGATAAAGTCATTTGATTCATGCTCAGCAGCAATGTCATCAGTATTTGCCATACATAATTATGTGATTCTACAAGTTGCAGATATGCCATATGTGGGTATCAAGCTTTCAAAGTGAAAACAAAATAGCTGAATTGTAGTATCAGGTCATTGGAGCCCATGTTTGCAACAGCTTCAGTGGTGGTGCAAGACAATGGATGGATCTTACCCTAGAAGGTGCTCTAAGGGATAAGATGAATAGCTGTTCTCTGATAAATGGCATGGCCTCAGCAGCTGCATTCCAGGACCAACAAACTAATCCAGAAGCTGCCACATACTAATAGCAATTGAACTGCTTCTCAGGATTAGCAGGCCAATGCAGACTCTGTGGATAGTTAATATGAGCCCTGCAGCCTCACAAGACTAATTGACTGTTGGAAATGCAAAATCTGGCCTGTGCATGGCATCAACAGCTGCATCTTAAGATCAATGGACTTGTTCAACACCAACTCTACAATGCTGTTATACCATTTCTTGATTTTCTAGACACCAAAAAATTTGTAGTGCACACTTTTGAGCCCTTGTTTGTTTATCTTCTGATAAAGATTTGAATGCCCATTCATGCACAAGTGGATGAATGTCCAACAACATCATTCCTTTTCCATTGACTTCCACTCATGAGTAGTTTCTAAGTGTCTCAATTGCATTTTCTATGACTTTGTCATTCCATCTTTTCTCTTCATCCACAAATGACTCTAATAAATCCTGTAATTCATCAATCTTCAGCTCAAACTGATACAGGTATCTTAGAATTGTGCAGTATGTCACATAACATGAGAAGTTGTTTTGGTCCCTCACTTAACTTTTGATAACTCAAATTCCAAGTGGCAAATACAGAAAGGTTGTAGTTATCTATCCTTTGCCTTTTTATTTCTGCTAAATATCTTGGCTTGTCCTTTCTGTAATTTTCAAAATACTGGCCAATTTGAATATATTAATTATAGAATAAGTAACTAGCAGCCTGGAGAGTGGCCAGAGCCAAATAATTCAATTCATGAACAAGTTAAATTGCAGCATCATGTTCAGTTGTGGACTCATTTGTTCTGCAACTAGCTTTATAGAAAAATGTCAAGGAATCTTCATCTGACATCTCTGCAGTTTTATAGCAGTTGTCAAGTGCATAAAATCTAGAATGCTTCATTCCTACTAGTTATGAGAATATTTCCATGATTACAAGAAGGAAAGACCTCCTGTAGATTCATCAGGATCATCTGCATTGTTAAAAATCATTAGCCATTCTGGCTGTTGATGACAAAGCCAGAGAGCAGAAGTGGAAGTGATTTCAGTCAAGTTAGCTTTTTGAGCAAACAGGACCAAAAACTGCTCAATAGATGTTTTGGAGCTTGCATTAATCATATAAGTATCAAAACATCTGCTTAGGTTATATCAATAAAATACATTGGAAAAGAGCATAATTCTATTTTACCTGCTTCTAAAGTTTTGAGAAAATTGTAATGCAATTTGAGTCTCGCCACTTCCACCTAAGCCATATGAAACAAAGCATTTCTTGAGCCCTCATATTCAATGAATGGCCATCATCACAGAAATATTTTTCAAGCTTAGCCAGAATATCTTTTCTTCCTGTAAATAAAGGAGATGGTGCTGGGACAATGGGAAGAAGTTGAAAAAGTAAGAGAGTCAATTCACATAGCAGGACAGTAAAATACTTGACTACCTTTTGCAGCTGCAGGAAGTCTGATTTGGCATTAACATACCATTTGGAAACCCAGCAGACTTTAGAATTTTTTCCATCTCTGATACAAAGATGGAAGCCTTGAACTTCTCTTGGCTTGTGCTCCATGTCTTGACATTGGAATACACATTCTTACTAAAGCTGGCATATTCATTATAGCCAGATCAATAGGCATACCAAGTCGACCAAGCATCAATGCAATGACACTAATAATTACTTAAATATTTCAATCAATCATAATTTTGAGTTGGTAAATGTACCCCCCTGTTCCAACTCCTCCAATCATATCAAAATAATCACAAGGCTTGGGGATTGATTGAGTATTCTCCAGATGCTTAAGCTGGAACATGATCTCTTGAAGAATGATGAGCCCAGAGAGGCCACGGATACCACCATCATCTGGGAAATGAATCAACAATTGTAAATATGTAGAGTCAACTTTGCGCACCAAAGATCAAAAGTCTGAATCCACATTTATTCTGGTCAGTATTGGTCTGCATTGTATGTTCAGCTTGGGTTCAGTGGGGTTGGGAAGGACAGTATATGATCATTTCACCAGGCTTTCATCACAAACTGTCAGGGGCTTTCTCACGCTTGGACCTCTGGATGCGAGTTGGTCATCATTTGGGAAGTAATCGGAAAGGCTGAGAGAACTTAGGTTCAAGTGCTCCATATTCCTCTTGAGAACATGAAATGACTATGTTCTCCTGTGGTAGGGCACGGTTGTCCATGAATTCAGCCAGTAATCCGCTAGATCGAGTGGACATTTGCTGAAACCAAAAGAGTGAACCAACGGCTCAAAAGAAACAAGTTCAACAAAACTTGGAATCTTTGCGTCACTTCACTCTAACGATCTGAATACTGAGAATTAGAACTCTCTTCTCCTTGTGAGGGTTCTATAGTCTATCGAATGTCCGATTTTTCGCAGTGATCTGGGCTGAGATGAACAATGTAAATGGACAAAAAGATAGAGCGACAACGGAACATGATATAGAAAAATCAATCGTCGCTCCGTGCTTTTGCGCAGCCATGACTATTCTGGGGAAATGGATAATATTTGGCGAGGACAAAGTAGGCGGTCATAGCAGAACGGTTCTGACGTGGTCGTCACGAAGGAGGGAGGGGTGAGCACTTCTCAGAACGCCAAACGATCGAACACCCGTATTAAGCCAAAAATACACAAGAGGACATGTAGGATTGGCGAATTCCTTCTATGTATGTATACTGTAGTCCAGAAATGCAAACACTATCATGATGATAGCTTCCGGCGTTGATATGAGCATGGTATTATATGATGAACGGCTCGCGTACTCCACCACAGGTTGGAAGTCCCCATCACGCCAAAGTTCCAGAAAATCTCTCAGATGTTCTGGCCGATCCGTTGAAATACGGTTTATGGAGCGCAAACAAGGAAGAACACCGAAAGCCGGCATGACTATAGTAATCCCATAATTTTACTAGTGTAGTTGATGTGCCAGGCAAGCGACAATGTGAATATTTTGGAATCTAAGAGAATTGAAGACACCCCTGCGATTCACCGTTGCAACGACGCAAACTGCGAAGAAACCGATGACGTTCTGCTTCCTTGACGGGTGCTTACAGAGGGCCTGAGAGTTCCTAGCTCAAGATTTCCTCTTCGTATGTTGCTTGGTGTTTCACTACATCCCTTACCTTTCCAATATCTATAGATTCAGCTATCAAATGACCATCTCTGACATTTTTTTCTTCTTCATACATGGATGAGTATATTCCACTGTATGAATGACTTCACGGGTTCGATTGCAGGACTAGACCCTTGAAACTGTCAATGCCTCCCCTCGTCCTATGGACTGCGTTCTGCATCTGTATGCAGCGTTCGGTGAGTATGATTCGTTTTGATTTGCGATGCCATTGCCAATATTTAAATACTTCCGACCACCATGAAGGGCCACTTTCTCCACTGAAAAAAAAATGAGAGGATTGGCACTGGAAAAGATTGGCACTAAAAAAAATGCTTTTTGAAGATTCTAGTCATATTTCTGGTTGGATTGAGAGGGAATTCCTGACACTGACTTTTCTAGATAAGTCTCGTGGACTGACGCCCGCTCGAAAAACTACAGAAGAGACCATTCCATTTTTTCTCTGAACCCCTCGGGCGGCCACGATACAAGAACATTCAAATCCTAGACATGAGAGCCAATGTTAGCCATTACACCGTACTCGATAACTCAGAGTAATGAAAGAAATGCCTCTGACTTGCTGCTAAATATCGAGTCTACAAGCAATAGCCGCCCGCTGGTTCTGTCAAGGGCGCCAAGTTCGATAATCAGCAATCCTTATGCGCAATGACATGAGACGCCATGGCAAGTAGAGAAATGGACTTGACCCAGATTTACCCTAGGGACACCTTATCATTTGACATACAAAGTTGAATCACCTACGTAGCATTGCCCTCTCCAGACTCCGGAACACACTTGAACTACATACGAAGGCTTTTTGGAATATCAACAATGTCGCTGTTGCAACAAAAGGTAACAGGGTGTCGCCATGATTTCGGATACGGGGAATCGAACCCCGAGCTGCCGCGAAATAAGTGTTAATCAAATGAGAGGCGGCAATGTTAGCCATTACACCATATCCGATATTGATAAATCTTTACCACGGCTTTATACCTGTAACCTTTCTGACACAGCGATTGCGCGAAGTTATAACGTTTCAAAGCATGTCAACCTGATGGTTGATATACTTCGGTCCTGAACTATGTATGTAGTACCTGTGGATTTCTCTTAAAATGGAAGACGGTGGAAGACACGTACAATCAATGCAAGATGTCAACGTTGCATGTCAACAGGGTGTCGCCCTCAAATGTTCACTAAGCCAGTGTTTACAAAGACAATATTACGGATACGGTGGTCCGGTCGTGCTTATCGCAAACTGATCGCTGTGTTGTCTCTTTGTCAAGATATTCAGCAACTGACGCGTTTATTCGTCATCATCCTACTCATGTCCACTATAAATAGCGGGGGGCCGCTTATAATAAATTTCCCAAAAGCCCTCATACTTCCATTCAATTCTCCTACCCTTACTCCCAGTATACATGAGCCCTTCCAACGAACCCGTCGTCCTCCACGAGTTCCATCCCAAGAACATGCCGTTCAGGCGCCTCGGCGCCAGCGGCTTGCGTGTGCCAGTCTTCTCTCTTGGGGGATGTGAGTTCGATGATGATATGATTCGAGAAGATTAGGATGAGTACTGATCCGTGTGTATTGTACTTATAGGGTTGACTCTTGGCGGATCGGTGGTAGGTGATCCTGTTAAGGTTGGTCCGAGAGTTTCGTTATTCCGCCGCGCAGATTGATAACTTGGGGGATGATGCGTACGCGTGTTCTTAGGAAATCATCAAGACCGCGTTCGATGCTGGAATCAATATGTTCGATACGGCAGAGGTGTATTCAGCTGGAAAGTCCGAGCTTGAGATGTACGTCGTTGTTCTCTCTCCATAATCACCTAGTGGGTGCTCAGATTTGACATTTTTGTTCTACCAGGGGACGCGTAATCAAGGAACTCGGCCTGCGTCGCACAGATCTTGTCATCACCACCAAGATCTTCTGGGGAACTCGCAAAGGCCCGAACGACGGTGGGCTCTCCCGTAAACAGTGCGTATCATCTCCTTGGATCAATCCACACGATGAACTCGCTATGACGTGTCAACAGTATTATCGAAGGGACGAAAGAGAGCCTGAAGCGCCTCGGCATGGATTATGTAGACGTCATTTTTGCGCATCGGCCTGATAATACGGTGCCGATGGAGGAGATTGTTAGAGCGTTTAATTGGGTGATTGATCAGGGTTGGGTACGTGCCCCGAGAATCCTTTCGACGTCTCAGCGTGTGATATTAATCGCTTGATAAGGCGTTTTATTGGGCTACGTCGGAATGGAGTGCGAGGGAGATTGAAGAGGCGTTCCGTAAGCACTTGTGTTCTTGAAGTCTTTGAAGATTGCTTACAGCAGTTCTTAGACGTCGCTGAGAAACTCAATCTCGCAGGTCCCATTGCGGAGCAATGCCAGCACCAGTTTCGTCCCTCATTTTTCTCGCAGCACGCTTGAGATTCACATCGTTTATAGCATGTTCCATCGTGAACGTCCAGAGAAAGAATACGAGTACGTTTGTCTTTCCTTTCTCGCCTCGATCGATCGACACAATCGTGTTAACCCCTTACCCAGCCCCCTCTACCGCAAATACGGCCTCGGAACCACAACATGGTCTTCCCTCGCTAGTGGACTCCTTACTGGAAAGGTTTGACGATCTTCATCCAGCACGAGTACCGTTCTCACAAAATTATCTGGATTTAGTATAACGATGGTATTCCTGAAGGATCGCGCTTCGCTACGACAGCTATGTTCAAGAATACTGTCGAGTCGCTTCAGACTGAAGAAGGCAAGGAGAAGATCAGGAAGGTTAAGGAGCTTACGAAGCTCGCTGCTGATGGTATATAGGCTTCCCAATCTATCTTGCCTCCACTCTGACGTTATTTGTCTCGTAGAACTGCAAACCACCCCCGCAGCACTAGCCCTCGCGTGGGTCGCGAAGAACCCCAACACCTCCACCGTCATACTCGGCGCGTCGACCGCTGAGCAGCTCAGGGACAACTTGAAGGCTGTGGAGGTTCTGCCAAGGCTTACGCCTGAGATCTTGGAGAAGATTGAGGGCATCTTGAAGAATAAGCCTTCGCCTCCTGTACGTGCTCTCCTTCTGACGTGGAGCGTTTTGCTGATTTTTTTTGTTGGTAGAATGATTATGGGCGTCCGGGGCTGGATGTACATGGCCGGCTTTGAGATAGGTCGCTAGTAGGTTAATAACATAAATATGTAGAAGGTGTACACTGGCTAGATAGGTCAGAAATTGCGTTAAGAATAGTTGTGGACTTTGAAGACGCGTCGAGGTACGCGTCTGGTCATGTGATCTAAAGAACAGCCTGCCCTCAACGACATCGTGACACGTACGGCTGCTTGCAAACTAGACCGACGTCTTATTAAAAGAGTCTTCCAGGAGCGAAGGTATAGCCTTCATTGTCGTTTGAATTTAACACGATGGTTTGTTGTGACATGACCGTGCTGAAAACTTGAAATCTAATAAGATCTGTCTTCATTATTACAGGTTGTTTTAGCAGCTTCGATATGTACAAAAGGCGGTAAAGGTGAGTGTTACAACCCTTTCGAAGACGGAAACAGATTGGCATGGTGTTATAGCCGTTATATCTCGTCAATTTCGGGACATGACACGGGCAAGAATTGAGTCTCTCCTCGCATCTTTCCCGAAAGTCATCCCCGCAAACACTCAACACACCTCCGTCGAAACATCCGACGTTAGATACGTCTACCAGCCGCTAGAAGACCTCTATATCCTCCTCATAACGAACAAGGCCTCTAATATTTTGCAGGACATTGATACGCTACATCTTTTTGCGCGTGTTGTCTCGGACCTCTGCAGGAGCGCAGACGAGCGCGAGATTCTGAAGAATTCGTTTGAGCTGCTTGGGGCGTTTGATGAGATCGTGAGCATGGGGTATCGGGAGAACGTGAATCTGTTGCAGGTGCGCAACGTGCTGGAGATGGAGAGTCACGAGGAGAAGATACAGGAGATTATCGCCAGGGTGTGTTTGTTCTCTCATCGTCATCATCGGCATTATGGCTCTAGGTTCTTACATTATGGTCGCCTGTGCAGAATAAGGAAGCGGAAGCGAAAGAAGAGCTTAAACGCCGTGCGAAGCAGTTGGAGATGCAGCGCCGGGAACAGCAACGACGGGCAGCTGGTACAGGCGGAAGCAGTTACCTCGGCAGTGGGAACTCGATGTATTCGCCCGTGCCGCGCTTTGAGGCGCCTGAGACACCCGTGCCTATCACGCGCACCACTTCGACGGCGGCTGCACGCCCGCCGGCGTTCAAGGGCACAGGTATGAAGCTGGGCGGTAAGAAGACGAAACAGGCGGAGCTGATCGATGCGCTTGGGGGGGATGTGGCTGCGAGAGTTGCGACTTCGGATATTTCGGTCCCTCCTACACCATCAGCGTCTTCTCAGCCCCAATCTTCGGCTGCTCCAAAGCACGATGGACGCGGCAGCTTGCCCGAAGTTCAGACGGAGAGGTACGTAACTTCTTTCGCCTACTTGTCAAGGGTTCTCTCCACATGTCAAATGTTGAATGTTCTGCCGTATTTGCAGCGTGCACATCGCCATCAAGGAGTCAATTTCCCTCTCGCTTCTTCGGGACGGTGGCGTAGAATCGATGGAGCTCAAGGGCGACATGAACCTCCAGATCTCAGATGCAGCTCTCGCGCATCTGCGGATCGCTCTATCTTCGCCGCCGACGGATTTCGGTGGGAACGCACTGCAGTTCAAGCAACACCCTAATGTTGCAAAGTTCGCACCGGGCCAGGAACGCGTTGTTGCGCTCAAGGACCCAGCACGGGCGTTCCCTGTTGGACAGACCTTGACTGTGCTAAAGTGGAGATACGCTGGCACAGACGAGAGTAACGTTCCACTGTCCAGTAAGTTTCGTTGTACATCCCAAGTCCAGTTACCTTCTAATCAAGTTATACACTCTTACGCGCGTATAGTCAATTGCTGGCCTTCGCCCTCGAATGACGGAACTTGTGAGGTCAGCATCGAGTACGAACTCGAGAATGAGAACGTTACACTCTACGACGTCATCATCTCCATTCCCCTCCCGTAAGTCCCAGCCGTCTCAAATTTCGCCTTCCTATCCCTAATCCAAACCTTACTCTCTTCTCCGAAATCACAGAACCGGCTCGTATCCCACCGTATCTTCACACACAGGCGAGTGGTCCCTCGACCCAGGTTTACACTCCCTAGCATGGTCCATCCCACGTGTATCCGCGACAGACGAAACGCGCTCGGGGTCTATGATTTTTACTGTGGGAGGAGACGATGCGAGCGCGTTCTTCCCGGTTCAGGTGACGTTCGTTGGCCAAGGGAGCCTTGCTGGCGTCGTTGTGGCGTCGGTTAGCAAGGTTGAAGGTGAGGACGTACCAGCGTTTTCGGTGGATGCGGTTGTTTCGACTGAGGAGTACCTTGTGGTTTGAGCATGTGTATGTGTAGAATACCCAAAAAAATCTGCGTTTCGTTTGCTCTGATGAGATTTGTTTTTATTTTAAAGATGGTCGATTCTACCAGAATGCTTGTCTTTCGTTTGATCCTTGACGACTCGTTCGAGTTCGCGCCGAGCCAGAAGCCTGTTGTTGAGCTCGGGGACTTGTCATGGTGTTTCTGATGGTGTTTCTGTTGGCTAGACCTTGGTCGTGCTGAACTCTATCGTATGGTCTAACTCGAGTCTTGTCATACTATCCTTGAATGACAGCGCCTCAGGCTTGACACGTCGTTGAGCCACAACTGGACGTGCTTGGTCTCCTGAACTACCTCTGACTTCTCAGGTAAGGTCTTACTGATACTCGTGAGCAGTTATATTTGAAAATAAGACAGTATTATTCACACAGCCGATATTTGAAAATTATACAGTATTATTCACACAGCCGATATTTGAAAATTACACAGTATTATTCACACAGTCGTGACTTAGAGTTCAATGCTACTCAACTTAGTAAAGCCGTTTGAACAGCTGTACCG